ATACTTAAAATGGTCCCAGACAGGTCAGGAGGAGGAACGTTACTTTTCAGGTTCTCTACAGTGTTTCATTAGTGTTGCAAACTGAGATTAGAGCTTATCTTACATCTGGCCGACTGACAGGGTAGTCGACAAAAAAGGAAACACAATGCAAAGAATGCAAAATGCTTAGACAGAAGAAAAAAAGAGTCGGTTTTCCAAAATAAACAAAACATTTCTATCATAAGAGACCCAGACTGAATGAGGTGACCCTTGAACTGGTTTCAGTGATGTGTCTGTGATTTCCTAATCAGTGCAGCATCAACCAGAGAGAGGTGAGTCGATCAATAAGGACAGTGGTGTGGGGGTTGGAGAGTGGAAGGAATGGGGGCTTAAACACAGAGAGTGGTTAAGTGGGGCCAAAAGCCTGAGGCTGGGGGGAAGGGAGTAAAGAGGGGGTGATGTAGAGCTATAGGAGCAGGGGGAAGGGAAAAAGGGAGAGGGCAAGGGTGTCAAAAAAACAGATGAAGCCATGTGGGTTAAAGGGCTGGTGTGAATTTGCCTCTAGATGTTGATCTTCTGCCTTTTTCAACACATAACAGTATTTCACAGGCTCTGGTTGGTATTATTTAACGTGAGGAAAAGGCAGGACTGATATGATCGCTGATCAGGTTTATCCGTCCAAGCTAATGTATTATTCAGGGAGTCAACTGATCCATAGTCAGCACCCTTTGCTGAAACACAAGGAAATGTACTCAAGAGAATAAACTGACCTTTAATACTGACAGAGTACCTTAAGCACCACAGTCAGAAAAAGTAATTAGAATACCACATGCAAAGGCCAGTCTACTTTTCATAAAAACTAAAAGTCTGAGTATTTAGAGCTTCAAATAGGAACATGGCGTTTCATCTGTATAGCGATAACTGGTTCAAACAGGAAGACCACAAATATGCTTTGTCAAATGTGACAGTGGAACCTTATCTTAATACACTGTGTCCAACACAGAGACGAGACTGTCATCAGCAGAAACTGGCATTTCTGGCGGCTGTCTTAAGAATTTGTTTTGTCAGTTCACTGCTTGTGAGGCCAGGCACCCGCTACAAGTCACTTGGTAGGAAATCTCACATTATCTGACTATTTCTGTCTCAAGACCTTCTTGTGTCATTGTGGCCAATAGCCAATGAAAAGGTGTCCCACATTGTGTAAGAAGCACATGAGTGCTGTTGAACCTCGTTATAATGACACTCTCACACCACAGGAGAAAAGAGGCTCCATAATGACCCTGCTTACATGATGATTCTGAAAACAAGTCACTAAAGCTATTCTTTGAGTAAAAGTAAGTCCCTGTAAGCATGTATGTGTTATTCTCTGTGTGAGCTTAATTTATAATCACATTCAGACGATGAAGTTACTGAAACTGCATAAATATTTGGATCTAAATCAAGTGTGGGTTTATGGATGAAAGTAAATAGTGCAACTGCATCCTGGTAATCCAAAATCAATCTTTTAAGTAGTGCTTAGCTCAGCTGCTAAGGTCATGATGAATACAATTGAATAGTGATAATTTTTCAATTAAAGACATTCATAGATTAAGTTGGAAGTTATGTGTTTTAGCTGCAAACAATATGACTTGAGTTTACTGAACATAGATAAATATTGACCAGCAGAAAAGATGAGGGTTTAATTGTTTTTGACACGTAATTTTAAAACCAAATATCTCACAACCCAGCAAAGTAAACACTGAGTAAGTAAGTAAAGAAATCTGGTGATTTAAAAACTCAAAATTCCCTGACACGTAATTTTGCACTGGCTGAATAACTGTTATCCTATTTGGAGAATGATAATTCCAAACCTCAGCGGGCTATTTGCACAGTTAGATAATCTCAAGGCTCGACAATAATCAAATACATTATTATTTGAGCCAGATAATTTCAAAGTAGATCTGAGGTAACTTGTAAATCTACATTTTCAAGCAAAAGATACCAAATATTCAATATAACATTTTCTCAGTTGTGAGGTTTTACTGCTTGTTTTGATAATAATATAATAAACAATAAACTTGATATTTCGCAATTTTGAAAATTTGGTCAAACAAAACAAAGTTTGATGTGTTCAAAGTAAGTTGTGTTTGAAAAGATCAAATAATTAGCAAATTAATCAATAATGAAAGTGTTAGTTGTGTTAAAGGACATCCAGTCTGGTTTTAGCTGTCAGAGTAATCATGTGGAAAACATCTCTCAATTCAGAGTATGGTAATTTATTGTAATTAAAACTGTACTGATTTTTCTTCAGTATCAATTCTAATGTTCTTTTTTAAAGCAGGTAAATCATAACTTGATGTGTCACAGTTGCACAGAAATTAGACAGTCATGCAAATCAGACCTCTGACTGTGCAGCCTTATATTCTGATGATGAAAATAAATGAGATAAATAGAAATAGTCACTGCTATCACTCTGTTTGAAATAAACACTGAGGGGCAATTTCACACCAGGGTCTGAAGCATGTATAGATGCTAGTTGTCACACCAGCCATTCCAGCAGGAGCATCTTACCACAGGACTCAGGCTTCCCCTCTGCTAGCACACTGCTGCTGCCACTCTTCTGCACCACCAGAGCTTCTGCTCACAGCCCCAACCACGCAGACCACAGCACAGACAGTACAGCAGCAGACAAACACACACACATACACACAAGCACGAACAAAAACAAGAACAAACACAAGGAAAGGAAACACAAAACAGGAAAGAGAAAATCATGAAGAAGAAACAATCATGGGAGAAGAAAAATTAAATGAACAAATAGGTTGTTTAATAAAAACACAATGGTTGGGACAGGCAGGAGTGCAGTTGCTAAAAATTAACTTGCTTAGTTTCCTTTCTAAAGAACCTCCACTCCTATAGAGGTCACTCTACTTATTCATTGTGACTTAACGATAAAAGACTGACTTTTTTCCTAAACATGTATCCTGCATCAAGATCTTTTTTATAAAGTGTTTAAATGTAGTTTAGACTAAATAATACGAACGCACTGGAAAACAAATTACAATTGTGTTCTAATATTACCAAACTGGACACTGAACATGGGCTTTCATGTTATGATATAATTAATTTGTAACATGCTGAATATGTAGCTGGTGCCACTGCATTTATATCAACTTGTGGTATACAAGATCATGCTAAAATTAAAAACAATGGTACACCTCATACTGGAGGTAGAACCATTTTTCATCCAACTATGGAAAAAAGGTAATCAAAGTGTTTTTGAAAAATGTTTAGTATACATTACCAAATAGCTGCCCATAATCCACTCTTTTGGAAATGGGAATCTCGGTTCTAACATCCATTTCCAGAGTATCTGACTACTCCTGCCGACCCTTAATAAACCCAACCACCAAATTATGTCAGAAAAGGCAAACAGAAGAAAATCTGGGAAAAGATTCATGCAACTTGCAGATAACTAGAAAGAGACAAACAGAAATATTGACTAACATCATGCAGGCATGCAAAACGTCATGACATAAATTTAAACATGAAAAATATCTAGAAATAATAATCTTACAATTCAGGGAATCATCCTCTGCTTCTCTATGGCTACTGTGCCATCAGTTAAATCCCTGCCTCTTTCCAAACATTGTTAAAAACCATCAGAGAAATACATTTTAGCATTGTGCTTCAAACAGACTGTGCATGTATTGTTGTGTAACCACATCTTCTCTATGTTCCTGTTGCATCATACAGAGATAAACCACCATGTGGTCCAGGGATTTTCTTTTTTTGTTTTGAAAACAGAAGCCATACCAAAAATCATGCTGGCCTGATTTGTAGCAAATCAAACAGGGAGTGTCGCTCCCGACAAACTAGTCTGTTTCTGAACCCGACATTCACTATTTCACCCTGCAATAAACTTGCAAACTGGAGTGCATAACAGGCTTTGAGGCTTTTAGTGTACCAGTCAAGTATGTACTGAGACCACCCAACTATTTTAAGCAGTCAAAACCCACAATGCACTGATTTATGTAAGAACCATGTGGACATTAAACATGCAGCTGCAGATTGTTAAGTTCCCCTGATCAAACCTTCCAGTGCTCATCAGCTTAAAAAAATCATGTAATGTGACATAGGATGTAGAAGGGGTAGAATTAAAAAACTCCATTTACTTTGTTACTGTACTTCAGTACATTTGTCATGTATCTTATTTACTTTAGAGGGTTAGGTTTCAATACTTTAAGTATACCTAAAAGCAAGTACTTGACTTAAATTGGTCAATGTGGTACTTTTATTTTTACTAAAGTACATTTTTGTGAATTTAGCTGTACTTTTACATAAGTAAAATGTGTGATTGAGTACTTCATCCACAACTGACTCTTCTGCAGTATAGTGCAGTTGTGACTCAGATAATAAAGACTTGTTTATTATATTATAATGTCCAGAGGTGAGACAATTTTTAGAAAATGGATCAAAGAACAAAATAAGTTGTTAGGCTTAAGTGACAAAACCACACACATAAAATGTATATTAACACAAAGCATAGAGAAAGATACACACACCACCTTTCATCATCACAGCATGGCCAGTCCAAACCATCATGAGCGCACTTGTGTTATGAGACTGCTTGTGTGTGTGTGTTTTAGAAAGAGAGCAAGAAATAAACGAGTGAGAGGGAGACAGACAAAAACATGAGGCACTCAGATGAAGTGATGCATACAGAGATATAGTGAGAGGATGAAAAAAGAGTGGAAAACAATAAAAAACAGAATGTGGTTATGAGACAGAAAGCGTAAAGTTACCTGTAGGGTCAAACTCATTGGAGGGAAGTGAGGTTTTGTCACTTTTGGTTTTCTTGTCTGGGGGATGGTCTTTACTGAGAATGCTGCTGGTTCTAGAGAGAGAAAGACAGAAACACCCATGAGAAAAGGTAAACAGACAAAACATTGGCATTGGTCCTTTATATACCTTACTTTATGTCATTCAGTCGTAGGGATGTCACCATATGAAATTTTGCTGCCATGATTATTGTCAGTGGAAATATCACGGTTTCACGATTTTCATGATTATTGATACTATAGGAGGAAAAAGACACACAACAAACAATATAAAGCTAATAATATAGCTAATGAACTAAAATATTTACTATTATCATCAACAATATCCAATTAGTTTTTAAAGTGTAACCTTAACCGTAATTTATGTAAACCATTATATTTAGTTGCCCTATTGTGGAGGGTTGGTCAGTGAATTTGTGTTCCCTGTCATCATAAGCAGTGAATCTGTATGGGACTTTTATTGTGAAGGGACATTATTCAGTCGTCATTTGTCCTTAACATTTTTTGTTAATTAATTTCAAAGTATGCATCTTGCTGTACTACTACCCTGTATATACACACACTGCAGGCAAGAGAAGATTCTGAAGAATTACAGCGATGCACAGAACCAACAATTGTTCACTTTATCAGCAGCTCCGAGTGTATGAATCATGCTGAGTGTGTCTACTGTATAATGTGATAGCCAGAGAGGATGTGGAGCCGATCTGCTGAGTGCCCCAGAGAGCAGGGCCAGAGAAAGGACGCTCCTCAGAGGAGGTGCCATAAGGCCAGACTCCAGCTTGAACCTTGGGAGGCTATGTATGGCTGTCTCTGCCTATACCAGCCCCAACTGTGAAAGGCCACTGTTCTGTTCACAGTGAAAGGCGGTGATGGGCCGCCCTTAGAAGAGGGACCCCTTTGTCAGTCACTGTGTGTGCGCGTGTGTGTGTGTGTACATGAGTGAGAGGGGGTAGGGTGTGGGCTATGTTTGGTACAAACTCTGAAGACTTCTGTGTTGCAGCTCACCAGGCCTAGTAAAACCTGCCTTTTTCCCCCTCATCGTGAACTCTGTGCATGTGTGTTGCCACAGGATTACCTACTCATAAGCATGCATGTCTCCACAATAAAATATGAGAAAATAAAAATGCTTACCTGTTTGCTTTCTTGGGAAACCTGCAACGTAGGAGAAAGACCATCAGTATCTCAAAGAAATGAAATGTCACACTATTAATGACTGTTTCTGCCTATATGGAGGCTGGAAAACAAGATGCTGAGCTCACAGCTTCCTCTGAGACCCACATAGCGGTAAACATGATAATCCTGATAAAAAACAGAGATCTTCAGCTGCAGATTAAAGCTTTTTCCAGGTCAAATGTCCTCAGATCTCAGCTGCATGTGCCATGATTTAGTTACTGACAGACATTACACATTGACTGTTATAATCTTATCATAATTACATCTGTGGCTTGTTTCCTTGAAGGTAGGCTGCCCTGAGACCTACTGCTGCCACCAAAGTAATATACCGATTTAAAAGATGTTGGAAAACCATCAGCACCATATTGGAAAAGGGAATGTTTTACAGGAAGTTTGAGATGAGTATTGACCTGTTGTGCAAAGCCAGCATGAAGTAAAATAAGGCAACACTCAAAAGTAGCTCAGTGTTTTCATACATACAAAGATCTTAAGAATTCTACATTTAGGATTTCTGCAAATTATTTAGAGACTCTAAGAAAGATTGTTATTAATAGTATGTCTTATTTGTACAGAAAATCTCCGGAACACTGATGAAGTTATTTGGGCGGCCCCTCAGCTCGACATTATCGCTGGTGAGGACTGCACATTGTCATTTTTCTACAGTCAGAGGGAGCCATGTTTTGCCATTCTTCCTTATGTTGTAATAAAAAACACTTCCATCGGGTTGAAAGTTATACTGGTACACAGTTAAGTCTAAATTTAAACTCTGGTTTATTGTGATGATGTGGAAAACATGGAAGAGATTGATGTCCGGGCCAGGAAATAATCCCACATCTCTTTATTCAGGGTGTCTTTACTTGGCGTGACACTGATAATTTCAAGCTGGTTGACATCTAGAACTTCTGAACATGATCTACTGTAGGCTTTGTAAATGCAAAATAGACAAATACAACAAGAAATGAATGTAAACTGCACTAGCACTCTTTACAATTTTTATACACAAAGTAATATAAAACATGAATACAGAAAGAATTGTTTAGTATTTTAAAACAGCAGTCTTCCATAAAGGGGAGGTCTCACGACTAACTAGCACACATTAACTCTCTTTCTCCTGGCGACAGTGAGTCCCATTCAGACCCTTGCAGGGGCAGCTGAATGGCCCGTTTATGAAAATGCCTCAGACTGTAATAAGTTCCAGAGCCTCCAGCAGAAAAAAAAACTAGCTTTAAGTAACCCACTCCCTAAGAAACCTCTGACTTGGAGAGATGGAAAAGTCAGCACATAAACACACATCGAACTGGGACATGCGTATGCACAGGCTCTGGGATGGCAAAACTGAGTAGGCAGATGTTGTTCTTGGTGGATCATGGAGGAACAAATGAAAACATGACAGTCCAACCAAGTTCTAAGGAGCTGGATGATGCATCACTCTGGATCATATCCATAGTCCGCTGAACTAGAGTTCAGAACCTTGCTTTCAGAAATAATGCTCTAATTCTATTGTAAGTTTTAATAGCAGCTGTGCAGATTAACACCTAACATGAAATGACTTGCCTAAGAAGTGGAAGAAGGACAAAAGAAGTCACGATGAAAGATTACAGCATGAAAGTAGGACAGGGAGATTGAAAAGGCCGGAGTAGTGACAGATGAGGTGTTTGAGATACAATAAAAGACTGAGACACAAGGTAGAAGAACACTGTGCACTAGTAAAAGAGAAGTTAAAGCAAGAGTGGCATAGAAAAGTCTGAATATTTATGACAGTTTTACTCAGAAGATCATCAGAAGAAGAGGAAACTTTCATAAAAATGCATAAACCTAAATTGAAAGGGCTTGCTGTAGTTTCATGATATCAAACATGGTCTGATTTTAACCATTATGATTAATGATTTGGGGAAGTTTTCTGAAATTATAGGTAGTATTTCTAAATGGCTAACTTAAAAAATATTGCAGCACAGAATCCAGAAACTGCAGGCATCTGCTGGATGTTGGTGAAAACTCACAAACATGTCACTCCAGGCCTCCACAGTAAAAGTTCCCGTTCCCTTGTTGCCCCTGAATGAGATCTGGATCATCGTAAAGCCAGTTTTAAAGGTCTGGGTGTGATTGTTCACGACCACTTTTCCAATGCTCATAATAAAATTCAAATAAAAATGTTCTCTCAGGAACGACTTTCTGCCTCAGTGGATGAGAGTCTGCTCTCAAATTGATTTTCACGCTAAACAAGCAAAAGTGGGCATGGGGATAAAAATTGATAAACAAGTCCTTTATCACATATCCCTGTGTGTGCGCATATATACACACACAGTGCAGTCTTTAAAGCATCCTCAGAGTTACAAACACAAAGTATTACAAACACATTATTAAAGTTATTTAATTTAAGTCTCCACAAACAGAGTTGCTTCTGTGCTTTCTATGACCAATTACATTGAGTACCCTACAGTGAACATAGCGTGGCAGAAATTACAACTTCAAATTACTAAAGTGAAATCGATAAAGGGCATAACTTTCATGTCAAGTGTCCCTTGATTGACTTAAATGTCCAACAAAATACTCCGTAAAACATAGCCTGTATGTTGGCAAAGCTGCTCGAAAATAAATCATTGTGTCTGATTTATGCAGTGTGTAGTTTGTCACATTGTGAGAAACAAACACAGTCAGGTTCCTTGTAAGTGGTCACACAGTAGACCAACCAACCAAACTATTCTTATAGAATCCAAAGTTACTTAGTTATTAAAAGCTGTGAAAAATGCTTTAAATATGGACCATGGGAACCAGACTGTGTCATGGTGAGAAGAAAGGAAATTATTCAGGAGGTGCAGGCTTATTTCCATGGTATAATCAAATGTGTATTCATAGATAATATCAATGCTTAATATTTTATACCATATCATGTCAATACCGGTATATTGTGAAACCCCCAATTTGTATGAATATTTTAGTTATGGCCAGAAAGGTGTTTTCTTGGGTCACAGTTACCTTGAGAAAACATAATGTCTCTGACCATGGCTGCTGCAGGCTCAGATGTATTTAATAACACTTGCACTAGGCTGATCAAAGCTGACATGTTATCTATGTTAACATTATATTTATTCTAGTTCATTGTCTGTAGTCTAATCGTAATGACTTGTATTAGAGTTTGTGGTCGGTATAAAAATGAATAATACATTTTTCTGTTAAAAACGATTCTGTATTAGAATGTGCTTTAAACAAGTTATTTTCCGTTGTTACACACCTTTGGCTCATTGCTGACGGCAGCATGCATCCTTTTTCAGTTTTTTTTAGTTTAGAGGGAATGAGATGTCATGCAGCCAGGGGTAAGGACTCAGCCTTGACATATGGTACGCGCTTCAACAAGTGAGCTACCAGGATGCCGTCACCATGCATTCTTAACCCTAGCCCAAGACTGACTGTCCAAAGTAAGTCATTTGCATAGATAGCTCAGCAGCTAAAATGATCAGTAGACTGAATTGTGAGTATTTTCCTCTTCTCAGACTTGTAGCAGACTTTACCTGGAGTTTGCATTTCACACATTCACAACACAGCAGGAAGTTTTCGGCACAGACGCATTCACACCAGCAAAAAATCCTCCACGTTATTCAGGCTAGAGGTGAAGCAGACAGAGGCAGGAAGTACACGTAACCCTGCCATGTAGATCACGTGATCATGTTAACAGCACCACGACACCGTTGTCGGCTCTTATCACCACAAACTCTCTTGACATCTTTGTCTGTGTCTTCTATGTGTGTGTCACGGCTTTTTCACTGGGAGATATTTGTTTTTCACTTTTGCGCCTGTCACGTGTTAGAAGCATCATCACCCCCCCCTACTCGCTCACTGTGAATCTAGTAGGGGATCACCCGTTGAGTTCACACATAGACTTCTCCTGGATTTCTGGTGGTGGATAAAGTCTGCAGAAACTGCGGCGCATCTCACTCAGACATTTGCGTTGACAAATGCACCTTCAGTGTATGTCTGAATGCAGCTTCTGTAGTCACACAGTCAGTTCTGTATGTACAAAGCTGTAGTTGCCAGGGGAAAGTGATATGAACTGTATTGTAGTTGAGATGGAGAAAATTCTGAGGAGATGCTTGCTGCAGTGACCCTGTTGCTTGATTGTTACAGACTCTTGTCACTGCATGGTCCACTGGTCTCACTTTTATCACTTGAATTTCAACAGTTAAGTGTAACTGACACAGTCATTGCTCACATATAACTTCACAGTAAATTTCAAATGAACTATCATAATGGTTAAACATCAGCAGGATATCTCTTGTTCAGTAGACAATAGTATAGTAAATTAATTAGCTTTCAAAAAAGTAAACAGCAACCATTTTCACTGGCCAAATTGTTATTATATTATTTGAAAGGGAAAATGCCCAAGAATATGGGCTTCTTGTTTGGGGATGTGTTCTGATTTTCTCATTCATATGAGGTGAACTTACATTTTGGGTTTTAGACAGTTAATAGATCAAAACAAGCAATTTGAAAATGTTAGTGTAATGAAATGTCTCTGTTATTTTCCAACATTGATTAGAGTAAATTATTAATCATGGGAATAATCAACAGATTAATGAATTATGAAAATAATTATTTGTTGCAGCGCTAGAAAATACACATTTATTGAACAATCGCTGATATCGCTCAGAAAAATTTGATTCGTACTCCTAAATTATTGTTTAAGTCAAAAAACTGATTCAGTTTTTTTACTTAAATCAGTTCAAGTTTTAAAAACCTTTTGACTAGAAATTATATGTAGTTTTAACAGAAACCCTGCAAACAAAATGCAAAAAGAATAAATTTTCCTCAGTTCATGAAATACTTCCGATCTAGCTGTAAAATACTTAAAGTTTGAGTTAGGACTTCTTCCTGGACGGAGCCATTTAATATGCAGGGAGTAGGAAAAGGAGAGAAGTCAGAGTCAGAAAAGGGTGGGATGGGAGGGAGGGAGGGGCAGCAGCGGTGGAGCGGGCCTGGGCTTG